GGGGGGGGGGTCCCAGGCTCCGAGGTCACTTCCTGACCGCCCTGGTCACACCTCCCTGGGGCAGTGGGCGGTCCCAGGCTCCGAGGTCACTTCCTCCCTGCCCGGTGGGTTCTTAGGATAGACTCTCCTCCCTCCTACCGTCATTCGGATCTTCTCCAAACCTTGCAGTCGTTTCTTTTCTGCTGCGACACTGTCCCTGCTTCCTTTCTTGGTTTCTTTGTTTCCCCGTTTCTCTTTTTCCTCCTCCTCTCCCCCTTCCTCCTCCTTTTCTTCCTTCCTCCCTCTTCCCACGCCCCCTGCCTTCCCTCCTTCTTTCCCTCCTTTCCTTCCTCCCCTCCCTCCTTGCTTCCTTTCTTCCCTCCTCCCTCTCCGTTCTCTCTTCCTCCTTCCTTTGTTTGCCTCCACCCCAATCCTGGAACGAGGGTTTGAGCTCACGGCCTCGCTTTCTTGTTTAGCTTGCTTGTTTTGCTCCACTCTATACTTGAGCCATGCCTCCAGTCCTGCTTTTCGCTGGTTATTTTGAAGATGGAGTTTCATGGTTTTCTGCTGGTGTTGATCTTGAGTGTCAATCCTCTGATTTTAGCCTTCTGAGTAGCTAGGTTCCTTCCCTCCTTCCTTCCTTCCCTCCTTCCTTATTTCCTTCCTTCCTTATTTCCTTCCTTCCTTCTGTCCTTCCTTCTGAATTTCCTTTTCTTTCCCTTCCTTTTCACCCCCCAAACCCTGCATCTCTGACCCACCATGGCTAGGCCTAAGCAGGTCCCCGAGTGGGGCTCAGCGTGGAACCCAAGGCCCTGGCCACAGGCTCTGGAAAAGCCACTGGGCCTGTGCACCGCTCGCGGGAGAGGCCTCTGTGCTCACACGACGCAGCACAGCTCACAGCCGCTTCAGAAACCCACTGCCAGAAAGAGAACAAAACGTGAAGAAAGAAAAATGATGGCGCTCCCCCGAGCCCACGACTGTGAGCTCCAGAATTAACAACGACATTAAATCAAATCTCATGCATTATGCAGAGAGCTGTGCAGCGCAAGGCCGTCTGTGTGATCCGCGCTGCAAATTTCCAGACTCCGAAGGCGCCCTGCGGGCCTGCGGCTCTTCTCCTGGCCTCTCGGGGACCGCCGGGACGGGGGCGTGCAGCCCAGTGGCACCCTTTGCTGGAGAGCAGAGGGGGACACCACCGTGGCCCAGCCCATCCACAGAGCGGGAAGCCATGAGGCAGTGGCTGTGGCGCGGGTCCATTCGAAACAATGAAATACAGCGTCTGAAACACGACCCAGCTGCTGACCGACGCATGGGGTGAATCATCCAGTCGCTTTTGCGGAACACGACGGGGATTTGCAGTCGCTCCAGAGACTCGGCAGGCTGCCCGCATCAACAACGAATTACACAGGGAAAGGGGGTCAGCCTGGGGTCGGTGGGGAAACTGAGTCCTGGCTCTGCCCTGGTGGAAAACGACCAGCACAGAAAGTGTGACGGAGAAAAGAGCGATGGCTTGAAATGCCGCCACCCACAGGCAAGACTTGGTAGTGTTTTGGGGTGCCAGTCTGCTCCATACTGTTGGTGGGTACAAACTGGCACCACTGCTTTGGTGAACTAGCCAGTGGGTGGTTGGATAGGTGATAGATTGATAGATAGATAGATGATAGATGGATGGATAGATAGATAGGTGATAGATGGATGGATGATAGATGGATGGATAGATAGATAGGTGATAGATAGATAGATGATAGATAGATAGATGATAGATAGATGATAGATGGATGATAGATGATAGATAGATGATAGATGGATGATAGATGGATGGATAGATGATAGATGGATGGATAGATGATAGATGGATGATAGATGGATGGATAGATAGATAGGTGATAGATGGATGGATGGATAGATAGATGATAGATGATGGATAGATGATAGATGATGGATAGATGATAGATGGATGGATAGATAGATGGATGATAGATAGATGATAGATAGATGATAGATGGATGATAGATGATAGATAGATGATAGATAGATGATAGATGGATGGATAGATAGATAGATGATAGATGGATGGATAGATACATGATAGATGGATGGATAGATAGATAGGTGATAGATGGATGGATGGATAGATAGATAGATAGATGATAGATAGATAGATAGATAGGTGATGGATGGATGGATAGATAGATAGATAGATGATAGATAGATGATAGATGGATGGATAGATAGATAGATCGATCGGTTGATCGTTCAGCCCAAGCCGGCATCGGGGAAAGCCAAGGGGATGCAATGCAGCTGCTTGGCACGAGCCTCTCCCTGCCCAGAGACAGTGGACGCGCGCCGGCCAGCCGGGCACCCACACGACTTCTACAATGCCACACCCAACCGCAGAAGGAGTCATTATTTCCTTAGTGCCCAGGATATAATCACCAGGACAGAGTCTTCGTAAATTTGAAGGAATCAAAAGCAAGCAACAACCACAATGGAACTTAAAAAATGGGACTTAAAAAGAAGTCTCTAGGAACACACTTAGCCCATAGAGCTTTTGGGAAAAGGAAAGAGCCCCACTTGGCTATGAATCCATCACCTAAAAAGTCATATTGGAAGCGAGGACGTAATTTGAATTGCATACAAACGCATGCCACTCCAGCAAGTCAACAGCAGGAAAACAGGATGAAAACAGCACCCAGAGGAAGGAGAGGTGGAGGTCGGGAGGATCTCGATTCCAGGCTGTCTCCATCTGGCTGGAAGAAGCTGGGTGTGGGAGCTCACACCTGTCATCCCAAATACAGTGGGAAGCACAAAGTAGCAGGGCTGCAGCCGAGGTGCACGCCAGGCAGGCCGCGAGAGCCCACCTCAAACAGACAAAAAGAACAGGGCTCTGGATCGAATCGCTGCCTGCAAACACAAGGCCTGCAAGCAGACGCTCTACAATCAATGGCCAGTGAAAAGTCAAACAGATTGAAGCAATAAAAGTGAACAACAGGTGTCTGTCTAGCACAGACGTACACACACCTGTAAGCTCGGTTAGTAGGCAGAGTCAGGAGGATGGCAAGTTCAAATTCTCAAGGAGAACTAGCATGAGACCCTACTTCAAAATAAAAATAAAATCAACAGGGCTGGAGGCGCAGCTCAAGAGGTGAAGCACTGATCAATCCCCAAACAACCAGTGGAATCAACCACAAACCAGACAAGGCAATGAACAAAGCCAAACGTTAATTATGAAAATAAGTAAATAAAATCCACAAACTCCTAGCTAGATAGACCAAGATAAAAGAAAACACAGATGAGGAATGAGAATTTAATTATCACTTCAGAGTCTACAGAGAGCAAAATGATCATAAAAACATGGTGAACAATGTTATACGGAATTCAATGTAGGTGACAAATTCCTTGAATAATTCAACTTATTGAAACTGACAGAGAAATAAAGTCTCTGAGCAGCCCTGCGTATTAAATAAGTGAAAACTTAAATGGAAAAAAAATCTTCCCACAAATAAAAAAATAAAGCATCTGCCCCACATGGAATTCCAGCAAATACAAAGACCATATTTCTCTGTCTCTGTCTCTGTCACATACACATACACACGCAAATAGAGGAAAAATATGTATGTAAAACTGGGCATACATGGCTCATCCTTGTAATCGCAGCTACTTATGAGGCTAAGATCTGAGGATCATAATCAAAGCCAGCCTGAGCAGTGATGTCTGCAAGTTTACCAACAATTAAACTACCAAAAAGCCAGAACCTGAGTTGTGGTTCAAGTGGTAAAGTGTCAGCCTCGAGCAACAAAGCTAAGGATTAGCTTCCAGGCCTTGAGGCCAAGTCCCAGGAGTGGCAGAGTAAAAAGGAAGGAAAGAGCTGGGCACCGGTGGCTCACGCCTGTCATCCCAGCTGCTCAGGAGGCTGAGATCTGAGGATCCTGGTTCAAAGCCAGCATGAGCAGAAAAGTCTGTGAGACTCTAATCTCAAATAAACCATCAGAAAACCAGAAGTGGGGCTGTGGCTCAAGTGGTAGAGCGCTAGCCTTGAGCTGAAGCCCTATGACCAAAAAAAAAAAAAAGGAAGGGAGAGGGAGAGAAGGGGGGGGAGGAGAGAGCACAAAGATTGCATCCCGGTGCTCAGGCTCTTGAGGTTTTTTTATTTATTTATTTTTTTTGTCGGTCATGGGGCTTGAACTCTGGGCCTGGGTGCTGTTCCTCAGCTCTTCAGCTCAAGGCAAGCACTCTACCACTTGAGCCACAGTGACACTTCTGGTTTTCTGGTTGATTGGAGATAAGAGTCTCACAGACTTTCCTGCCTGTGCTGGCTTTGAACTGGGATCCTCAGATCTCAGCCTCCTGAGTAGCTGGGATGACAGGCGTGAGCCACCGGCCCTTGGTGGCTCCTGAGGTTTTACTTGCAAGCTGTGGCTTCTCGCCCACGGGTCTCCAGAGAGGACCCAGCATGGCTGGGCCACGTGCTCAGCGTGTCCTACCTGTGCAGCTGGGGACCGTGGGTTTGTTTAGTCTTCAGTGCCACATGCCACGCCTGGAGTTTATGGGACCTGTGTGGGGTGGTGGCTGTGTATGAGCATCCACTCACTGGGGTTTATGGGACCTGTGTGGGGTGGTGGCTAACTGTGTATGACCATCCACTCACTGGGCACGGGGGACTGGTGAGGCTTGCTTTCTTCTTTCTTTCTTTCCATCCCTTCTCTGTCTCTCTGTCTCTTTTTGTCGGTCGTGGGGCCTGAACTCTGGGCCTGGGCACTGTTCCTCAGCTTTTCAGCTGAGCAAGTGCTCTACCACTTGAGCCACAGCACCACTTCCGGCTTTTTCTGCTTATGTGGTGCCCAGGGCCTCATGCATGCGAGGCAAGCGCTCTACCCTCACCACTCCATCACAGTTCCTCCCAGGGGAGGGAGGCTGGGAGGGAAAGGAGGGATGAACTCCCCCCACCGCCCGCCGCCCTCCGCGTCGTGGCCTGGGCCTGTCACGCTCAGCCACAGGACTGCGTGCCCACAGCAAGACTGCACCGGGGTCCCGAAGCCATGGTGGGGCCCTGACCCTCAGACCCTGAGCAGGGTCTTCACACAGGCGCACGTCTAGCTGAGGTCCTTGAGCTCCCTACTCTTAATGTGAAAGCATCCTTAGCGAAAGGAGAGGCCTGGGCTAGTGCTGTGGCTCACGCCTGTCATCCCAGCCACTCAGGAGGCTGAGATCTCAGATTTCAGGACTGACGTTAGAAGCGGCAAAGTCTGTGAGATTCTTATCTCTGGCCAACCAGCAAAAAGCTGGCCAGCCTTGAGCAGAAAACGCTCAAAGTCAGTACCCAGCCCCTGAGTTCAAGCCCCAGGCCTGGCACCACAGAAGGGGGGGCGGTCTTGCACATGCTGGGGAAGGCAGCAGTCGGGGAAGGGCCGGATGGCGGCAGCAGGAGAGGCCGGCAGACTTCCCTGCACACTTCCCGGCCGTCTCAGCCTCGGCCGTGGGCCGGCCGGGCGATGGCATGGCTGCTGCTGTGCCTGCCAGCCACCTGCAGCCCTGGTTACAGAGAGCCTGGGAAACAGTCCTGGCCACGGCCTACGTCCCGCGGTGAGGCAGCTCGGCTGAGCTCCTAAGTGCCCAGGCAGCGGCAGGCCCGCCGGGCCAAGTCCACGGGTGCCCAGTCCTGCAGGGCCCAGTCCACGGTGCCCGGGCCTGCGGAGCCCAGTCCACGGTGCCCGGTCCCGCGGGGCCCAGTCCACGGTGCCCGGTCCCGCGGGGCCCAGTCCACGGTGCCGGGCAGTGGCGGGCCTGCGGAGCCCAGTCCCACAGTGCCAGACAGGGAGCCGGGGAGCCGAGCCCGCTTTGATGGAACACTGAGATGTGAGGGTCACAAATCCCAGGCACACTGCGGGGAGCTCAGAGGGGCTCACAGACCCCCCGGATGGGCGGGGCCCCGATGGTGTAACCAATGAAGCCCTCCTCCTCCCTCCTCTCCTCTGCTCCCTTCCCCCCCTTCTCCCTGGCCGCCTTTCTGGAAGCAGCCTCTGCATCACCGCACCCCCCCCCACGGAAACCCCCAGAACCACAAGTCACCCTCCATCTCTCCTCCCTTGCTTTGCAACAGGTGACAACAGATGGTGACTGATCTACCAGAGTGGGCAGAACCAAGCAGGCTGCGAGCTCTAAGGAACCAAAAGGAAAGGAACTTTCTGGCGGGCAGGACAGCGCTGGGGGCTCCCGCGCACCGCAGGAAAAGCTGCAGCAAAGCAGCGGCTGAGGTGGCCGCAAAGCCGCTGGAGAGCGGGGGGGGGGGGCAGCGTGCTGTGTGCGTGTGCAAAGGCCCCACGGTAAACACTGCTGTGTGCGTGTGCAAAGGCCCCACGGTAAACACTGCTGTGTGCGTGTGCAAAGGCC